TTTAGATTTTGGATATTGGACCATAATAGGTGAATGTCCAATTTAAAATTTTTAAGTTCTTAGACCACATTCAATCTGTGTTAGAAACCTATGCTGTGTCAAATATTTAATCACAATCCAAATCCAAAGCTGTATCAAGCTTGAATGTTGTGTCCATACTTTCCCCAACTGTTCAGGGTTCGACCTCTGCGGTCGTATGAAGCTGCGCCCTGCGGAGCATTTTATTTGTATATATATACATATATATATACAAGTCTAAATTGAAAACAACATTCAAACCTATGATTGCGTTGGATAAAAACCGCAATTTTTATACGTGTGCATGCAAAACAAATTTCTTCTTAGAGGGGTCTAAATACAGCACAAACAACATTTTCCAAAAGACCAAAAAAGTGAAAAAGTATATTTTAACAAAACGCATTTGACTAACAGGTCGAACAACAAATGTTCTTAAACCCTGCTGACTGCCATTGGCGATTGCCAAATAAACGGATCACCGATGTAATAAATGGATCTTAATAAAAAATTTAATACTAAACAGAAAACAATAAACTTGCGGGAAAGATGATATACCGCAAACAAAAGGTGCAAAGGTTTTTGTACACCATATCCGGATTTCGACAATTAATGTCTCTTCAGTGATGTTAGGAATCGAAACGGTATTTGGAAAGCCATACAATTTACCTCAATTTAGGATAGACTCTTGAATTTTGAGGAGTCAAAATAGGATGAACGGATCATATAAACCCAAAGGCAAATATAATACAAGCCCAAACGAAAAAATATAAACAAGTCTAAATTGAAAACAACGTTCAAACCCATGATTGCGTTGGATAAAAACTTCAATTTTTATACGTGTGCATGCAAAACAAATTTCTTCTTAGAGGGGTCTAAATACAGCACAAACAACATTTTCCAAAAGACCAAAAATGTGAAAAAGTATATTTTAACAAAACGCATTTGACTAACAGGTCGAACAACAAATGTTCTTAAACCCTGCTGACTGCCATTGGCGATTGCCAAATAAACGGATCACCGATGTAATAAATGGATCTTAATAAAAAATTTAATACTAAACAGAAAACAATAAACTTGCGGGAAAGATGATATACCGCAAACAAAAGGTGCAAAGGTTTTTGTACACCATATCCGGATTTCGACAATTAATGTCTCTTCAGTGAAGTTAGGAATCGAAACGGTATTTGGAAAGCCATACAATTTACCTCAATTAAGGATAGACTCTTGAATTTTGAGGAGTCAAAATAGGATGAACGGATCATATAAACCCGAAGGCAAATATAATACAAGCCCAAACGAAAAAAAATAAACAAGTCTAAATTGAAAACAACATTCAAACCTATGATTGCGTTGGATAAAAACATATATATATATATATATATATATATATAAATGTTACTTATACATGTTATAGATAAAATCCAGTTTGTCTTCATTTTTGTGGAAATACTAAGATGTGTTATGATTTGTAAAATTAATATTTACAAGACCTGCCAACTTTATCAATTTTAATATAGAGGATTTCCTCAATGAGAGGACTCTTGAAATTCTTCATTTTTATGCCCCTGCCGCAGCATTCTCTAACTTAAGTTTGCTTAAACCAAATGTTATCAAACTTATACACAATGCTTATTACCACAAAACTCAGATCAAGTTCGAATTTGGGTGGTGTCACTTTTACCGTTTTTGAGTTATGTCCATTTATTACGTTATATGTAAGCGGGGGCATCATCTGTGTCCCATGGACCATTCTCCATTAATTTTCTATTTTGATTTAAACTGAAACCTCAAAAATTGCATTCAATGGTGTTAAAATGTAATTTATGCACATTTATACTTATTCAAAATCTTAAGATATGTACTATAAGAGACCGACTAGGTCCTCTTGTGCTTATAATCCCACATGGAGACAATGAGAAGTTGAGAATGAGAATGTTTCCAGTTGTAACTTTTCAGAGAATGCAATTGTGGGATTCCGGGTGCGGGGTTTTCTCGCTGTGTTGAAGACCCATTGGTGGCTTTCGGCTGTTTTCTGCTCTTTGGTTGGGTTGTTGTCTCTTTGACACATTCCCCATTTCCATTCTCATTTTTAATTTGTATGGAATTTATATATGTCTAAATAATGAGGTTTTTTTTCAGTACAAATTGTATTAATATCAATGATATATTATTGTATTAAAGACTGTACATTTTAAGTGTGTAATTGCACTTGGTTTTTATAAAATGATTTTAAACAGGATGTATATAAAAAAAATGTGCTTAACTAAATGACTTCTGAAATAGATTATCATTGATTATTTACATAGAAAAGAAGGGATATTCACAAGATTAGTGTGTTAATTTGGGGATTGATATGGGGTGTAAAATAGGAAACAGTCTCAAAATATTGAAGAGAGAACAATGACTCACATCCCCTTCTGAAAAAAATAAAGTTCATACATGTACAATAGTTATATCTAAAATGTTTTAAGAAGTGAGAATTTAAGCTGACCTCAAGATGAATGGGTACAGATTGATTGTGCAAAATTTTGTTGAATACAGGATACATTTTGTAGGTGTTTGATCTATCATCAAGACCCTCATAATTGAAACCTGATTCACTGTTTTTGATAATGCTCAGATACAGAAATATTTTAAGAAATTAAAATTTAAAAGTCTCTGTTTGCCAATGTTTGTATTTTGTCCCTAGAAAAACTTTGGTCATGTAAAACATTTTTATTAACTTATTCTCATTATGAATTATAACACAGTGAACTTACGAATTGATATGCATAAAGTTGTATTTGATGTTTAGAATTAGTCATTTTACAATAACTTATTGACATAAAAATCGATGTATATTTGACAGCAATTTTATTTTATGTGGATCTGACAATTTTATAAGTGAGTCACATCCACTCTAAATTCTCCTTGTTATTTATAATTTTACATGTAGCTTGATAAGACTTATATAATGTGACATTCTGATTTTTTTAAACCACTTTGCATCCATCAAAATGTTTTGATTACAAGAACTTTTCTGAAATCACAAGTACAAATATGGAATCAACTTGACTGCTAAAACTATTGTCATTGAAATATTCTTATAAAAAGAAAAAAATATCTTATTTTTTTTTAAATAACATTGGTTTTTATTCATGCCCTTTTGACATTGACAGTTCAATTCATTTGGAGACTCATGAAAAATTGTACATGATATGTTTTTATAACACTGTACGTGATTGTAGCCATAAAAATTAATGAACCCTCATGTACATCCTATCTCAACCATTTTAAAAGATATAACATTTGTGTTAAACATAGGAATATGGTATTTAGACATGAATATTTAAACTTTTAATCATGCAATATTGATGAAATAGTCACTCAATGGTTAAATCTTAAACCTCAAGTTAAAATAATATGGTTCAAAATTATCACATTTTCTTTAATATTTGTAATCTGATATAAATTTAAAGGATATTAAACTGTCAAATTTTTTTTTCATGTTTCTTTTATACACTAAAGTAAAAAATGTCTTGTGTAAATAGATTACCTAAGTAGTGTGAGGTTTTTAAAGTGAAAATCTAGGTTCTTTGCTCATTTTAAAGTATTTTTCTCAAGAATAACACAAATCATTGCTTGTCATGCAGACAGTAAAGAAACTTTTACCCCTATTAAAATGAATTTTGGTGTATTTTCCAACATTTTTTTTTGTATAAATATTCATTCTTGAGGTTTTATACATTTATAGGAAAGTTGCTTGTGTGTGAATTTGTGTCTATTTTGTAGATAAAAAAGAACAAAAAGGTGGAAGGGTGGGGTGGGGTGAGGGAGAAATTGCATTTAGCCTTCCAATCCTGTATCAACCACAAAATTAAACTATGAAGAAAAATGTAAAAGAAGAGGCATATCTTTTTACAGAAAATATATTGTAATTTTGTAGATTTTTTCATGTCATGATAATTGTTTCTTTTATTAATTTCTCTGTCTGAAAAAAAAAGGGAAATGGTTTCTTTTCTTTTTCTCTTTTTTTTCATTGAAATATACAATTTTGTTTTGAAATTGTCCCTTCCATCATCCGGATTTGATATGAGGACCATAGCATAAAAAGCCACTATACTCTACCAGCTGATCAAATGGCATTCAATAGTACTCTAATCCCAGAATGGGGGCCATGGTGGCCAAGCGATCCTAGTTGTTCATCTTCAGTGATCATTAGCCTGTTAGCTTTGAGGTTGTGAGTTCAAACCCAAATCGTGGTGAGATGCTTTTGACTGATGTTGATTGACAAGGAATGCCAGTTTTCCTGCTGAAGGTTGGTGGTTCTCCCTGGGTTCTCTGGCTTCTTCCACAAATAAAAACTGACCACCATGATATAGAGAGCTGACAGGTAGGTTAAACACCAACAATCAAATCTAAGAGTGCTTCTTTTAACTCATTTTATAGGAAAGAGGCTTGCTATTCAATGTTTCCTTTGTTCTGTTTTAAGTTTCAAATGTATAGTTGATAGTTTTAGAAAAATAGAGAGCATTGTCAATTCTACCAATCAACCTAATAACACATTTTTAGCCAGATTATGTTAGGATCTTAGATGACAAATTACAACTTACAAAAAAGCTGTATATTTGAAGTGCTTGAATTTTCATTAAGTATGTGAAGTGCTTAAATTATCATCAAATATGATTTTTTAAGGCAACTGGCCCAAAATATTTAAACATCAAGGATGCCAAACCACCGAGTGTTAACTTTAATTAGAGGAGTTATAACATTATATTACTTAATGGGTCAGTTATTTTTAAAATGTTTGTGTTAATTTTAGCATGTATATAGTCTAAAACACAGAATTGTCCAACTCGTGAATAATATAATGTAATTCCTATTAACTCATTGTAAACTCCATGCAAGAAATGCATTTTCATTTAAAACAATAATATAAGGATTGATAAAACAAACACATTTTATAGCAATGACATTGATTTAAACTAATGTTTATTTTTCAGAGGAGATATTGCCCTGATTGGGCTTGCCGTGATGGGACAGAATCTCATTCTAAATATGAATGATCATGGATTTACTGTAAGTCAATACTGTAGTTTAAGGAATATTATTTCACTGTAAATCTCCTTATTTGTTTTTTGTATTGTTACCTTTTGGTAGATTTTTACATATCCTTTCTACAAAAATGTAATTAGAACTACTCATTTCACAATTTAACCATTATATATTTTGTATACATACTGTCTTGAAACGAAATACTATATACAATATAGTTTAAAATGTCAAAGTGTTTTTGTAGCAGACCTTTCTCACTTTTTTCTTCCTCAAACTTCATGGAAGATGAATTTATCTAGCTAAAAGTTACCAATATATTCATTATAGATATATTTGTTTGTTGGAAGACTGTTTTGTGTTTTTCAGGTTGTAGCCTTCAACAGAACTGTGTCTAAAGTAGAGGAATTTATGAAAAATGAAGCTAAAGGAACAAAAGTTATTGGTGCCAAGTCGATGGAAAACATGGTTTCTCTGTTGAAAAAACCACGAAGAGTTATGTTACTTGTCAAAGCAGGACAAGCTGTTGATGACTTTATTGCCAAATTGGTAAATTTATTACAGAAATAGTTTGAAATTGGACAGGGTTCTATCTTGTACTTCTTCTGAATTAAATACAACATTTCTAAGTTTAAATCTATTGTTTACATCCATCAAAAATCAATTTCCAAATTAAACTGAACCACATACTAGTACATGAAGTAAAGTATACCGGTAGTCACTTTGTATTTTCTATGAAATTACTTCAAATTTGAACTATCTGAGTATATGAGTAGAAACCTGGTGTGAAATAGGTTGAACAGTTGTGCTACTTCCAATATAATGCATAGGAGAAGTGTGCCATTAAAGGGTTTTTGTCGAGCCTGCGACATTTGTCGCAGAAAGCTCGACATAGGGATAGTGATGGTGTATGGAAGGACTGTAAGGTGTACATGTCCAACTGGCAGGTGTCATCTGACCTTGACCTCATTTTCATGGTTCAGTGGTTATAGTTAAGTTTTTGTGTTTTGGTCTGTTTTCCTTATACTGTATGCAATAGGTTTACTATATTTGGTGTATGGAATGATTGTAAGGTGTACATGTCTAGCTGGCAGGTGTCATTTGACCTTGACCTCATTTTCATGGTTCAGTGGTCAAAGTTAAGATTTTGAGTTTTGGTCTTTTTTTCTAATACTATTTGCAATAGATCAACTATATTTGGTGTATGGAAATATTTTATGATCTATATGTCAGTCGCGCAGGTTTTATTTGACCTTGACCTCATTTTCACAGTTCATTGGTCAGTGTTAAGTTTTTGTGTTTTGGTCTGTTTTTCTTGAACTATAAGCAATAGATCAACTATATTTGTTGTATGGAAGAATTGTCAGCTGTACATGCCTGCTTGGCATGGTTCATCTGACCTTGACCTCATTTTCATGGTTCATTGGTCAATGTTTAGTTTTCTTGGTTAATGTTAAGTTTATGTGACAGTTGTAATCAAGCTTTTTATTTAGGACTATCAACATAATATCAGTGATTAGTTAAGAAGGCGAGACATTTCAGCGTGTGCACTCTTGTGATTAACAGGAATGATTTTTTGCTGAACAATCTTGCAAAAATTGGAAGGAAAAGCATCTTTAAAAAGAAGTCTAATCTATTAAAATTATTACAAAAAGTATTATTACAAAAACCGTCATTTGTTGCCTGATAGTGGAAATTATGATATTAAGTTAACCTATATGTTTTTCAGGTACCTCTTTTAGAGAAAGGTGACATAATCATTGATGGAGGAAACTCAGAATATGGAGATACTAATGTAAGCAAAGAATCTGGTATAAATATGAGAATTTTAGAATATTTTTATCCTTGCTTTTCCATTCACTCAGTTAATAGATTAGTGTTTAACACCACTTTCAGCACTATTGGCTATTTCATTGCGGTCAGTTTTCATTGGTTGAAAAAGCCAGAGTGTCCTCAGAGAACCACCAACCTTCAGTAAGAAAACTGACAAACCTAGTCAATTAGGATTCGAGTTGAACATACCTGCCTAGTGCGGGATTCCAACTCACAACCTAAGTGTTGACAGACTAGTGATACAGTAGTTGGACTACTTAGACCACTTGGCCACCGAGCCTTTTTGTTAAATTATCAATATTTCAAACTGTATGTGATTAATTTCTTCTCTGATTTTATATGAAAGAAAGCTGTTTTCTGCAATATGAATTAGAACTTGCAATTGGATAACAACAAATAAGATGTGCACACTTTGCAAAAACCTGTCACATGTCAATGTACTTTTATCAAGTCATGAGTTTCATCAGTGGTTGTCCTAATCTATATCACAGTATTTTTTGTCCATTAAGGAATTTGGTCATGACTACATTCTCTGTTAAATGTTTCAAAACTTGTCTATTCTCTTAGCAATTTAAAAGACCTTAGAGCTTGATTAATAAGTTTATTGTATACCACTGTATGACTACCATTTGTTTCTTCTCTTTTTTTGGTGGGGGGATATTGTGTTTCACATTGTCTTTAAACATGTTTAGAATGTCTTGATTTAATACAGAATTCCTTTTTCAGAGAAGATGCAAGGAATTAGCAGCTAAGGGGTTACTGTATGTAGGAAGTGGTGTTAGTGGAGGAGAAGATGGTGCTAGATATGGTCCATCTTTGATGCCTGGAGGTTCTCCAGAGGCATGGTAAGTAGGAAGTAATGTTAGAGGAAGGAAAGATGGTACACAATATTACTTTTTTATCTAAATTATTAAGTTCTTTGAGTTATGTCACAAATTTTAGATATATTTGTAAAGTTTGAATACTATTGTATTGTCTTCTGCACTTGAATTAAAAAAAAGAATTTGAAATTGTTAACATGAGAAGTTAATATTCTGTTTATTATATTCCAGGCCTCATGTAAAAGACATTTTCCAGTCTATATCTGCTAAGGTTGGAAAAGAACCATGTTGTGATTGGGTAAGAAGTAAAAGGATGTTATATTAAATGTTGCTATATATAACGTCTGATAAATTATATACTAGATATACAGATACTTTTAGCTCTCTTGGCCAAAGAAGAGCATGTAGTTTATGGAAGGAGACATTTGTGAAACTTTTTATGTCCCACCAAGGGGCATTATGTTTTTCAGTCTGTGCATCCGTCCTTTTGTCCGTCTGTCCCGCTTCAGGTTAAAGTTTTTGGTCAAGGTAGTTTTTGATGAAGTTGAAGTCCAATCAACTTGAAAATTAGTACACATGTTCCTAATGATATGATCTTTCTAATTTTAATGCTAAATTAGAGATTTGGCCCCAATTTCATGGTCCACTGAACATAGAAAATGATAGTGCGAGTGGGACATCTGTGTACTATGGACACATTCTTGTTCCATTTTGTCTTGATTGGATAAAATAATGGTAGCAACAGTTACATATGATTTTATTTCACACTTTGAGAAAAAAAGAGGCAGAAGATTCTAAGAGGACATTCAATACTCATATAAGTCAAAGAGAAACCGACAACACAATGGCAAAAAATGGAAGACAAAAAAATACAACATAAAAAACTAAAGACAGAGCAACATGAACCTCACCAAAAACTGGGGTCAATCCCTGGTGCTCAGGAAGGGTAATTTGAGGTGCATTAGGGATATTAACCCAGATGATGAATTTCTGTTATTATTCTAGGTTGGACCAGAAGGAGCAGGCCATTTTGTAAAGATGGTACATAATGGTATTGAGTATGGAGACATGCAGTTGATATGTGAAGCCTACCATTTGATGAAGGATGTTTTAGGAATGACACAAGATGAGATGGCAGATGTAGGTTTCTTTAAGAACTTTATAACATGTAACTGTTCAAAACATGAAAATTCTTAATTAGACACTGTAAAACAAAAAAAAAGGAAACAAAAGAAGACAGTGTTTTAACTTATTAAAAAAATTCAATTCATTAATTTGGCAGAACAAGAAATTTTTTTAAGTTGCTTTCATTTTAAAATTTATAAAAAATGATTTAATATTTTTTTCTTCAAATTCTCGAATATAGTCAAATATGGGAGATAACCCATGACTAAAAATTTGGTAGCAATTTAATAATTTAAATTTAAAGAGTAAGGAAGTCAATTTTAGTAACAATTTTCTGTTATTTGACTGAAAAACATTTGTATAAAAAGATGTATATCATAAAGTCCTTGCATATTGGAGGTTCAAATTTTTGACAGTCTGTTTTGTTAAATTTATGCGTACAGCTTGGTCAAATTCTGCAATTGGCTGTAAATTCAGATACAAACAATTTCAATTAATGTTGTGTCCATTTTTCTTTAAAAAATTAAATGTTCAATATTAGATCAATATTATTTTGCTAAACTTAACTTTGTAGTAATGTACATATTGTCCATAACCTAGTATAATTTAATTGAAAAAAATAAGGGGAGATAATTCCAAACAAATTATATATAAAGTATGTTCTTCCCAACAGCTATTTAATTGATAGTTAAAAAAACAAGTGACCTATACTGCTTTTGATTGCTAAAGGATTACACTAGAGATTTCTATATATTTTAAGTAATTTTATTAGTTTTTTACTATCAAAGTTCCAGTCAAATTAAAAAAATGGAGTTTGATAATGACTGTATTTAACCGTACTTGAGAACTATACTTTGTCACTGAGAGGCTTGCAGTGCTGTAAAACATGATTCAGCTCACCACCTACATTTGAATTTATCATTACTTGTCAATTGTTTGTGTGAGAATTGAAAAGACTTCTTCAAAAAAAGATAGGCAGAATATTGTGCATTTATTATTCTTTGTTGGTACCAATGTTCTTTGATTTTGTGGTTATAGGCCTAGGGAAACCACTAATTTAGATGTTCTAAGAAGTATAAATTTTATGTAGCTTTGTATACAATCTTTTGCAAAACTGCGAAATCAAGTATCCACGAAATTTGTTTTCCTTTATGTATGAAAACTGGTAAATAAATGACTCCACAGTATATGGACATTGTGGAATATAGCTCATAGCACATTTGTTTTGTTTTTACAGGTATTTGATGATTGGAACAAAGGAGAACTGGAATCATTCCTGATAGAGATCTCAAGAGATATACTTAGATTTAAAGATACTGATGGGAAATATTTACTGGAGAAAATCAGAGATACTGCTGGACAGGTATAAATACAGATTAAATCATGATTCTCATTCATTTAAGTTTGTAGATCCTCTTCTACCTCTGACAAAACATTTTGCATATGAGAGTATACATTAAAGTTGTTTGTTCAGGATTTCATGGATCAACTATGTTTGCAAGGTTTTAATTGTGCATTCTTTTGAGTCTTATCTTCCTTAACATTACATTTATGTGAGGGGTTAATTGGCAAATTAGGGAAAATGAGACACTCACAAAAAAATGTCTTCTTTACAGTAATTTGATTTTTTCCCATATTTTTATGTCAGTTTATTAACAATTATTTGTTCCTGAAATGGCAGTCCTGTACATTCTAAAGCAACAAATGCAATTGTCTTTTATTGTTGCATTTTTATGTAGAAAATATCTTTTTTACACAGAAGTTCTAATGCATGATAGCTGATTTCTGGAACAATCTTCAGTTTATAAACTGTAAACATAAGTTTGGTCTCATTATTGAATTTGAAAATCTTCAGAATGTTTCATTCATTTCTCAGGTTTCTAGGAACCAAGCATCATAAATGAATATAATTACTTTTTTAATAGTAAAAATATTAGTTTTTAAGCCCCTGCCATAGCGGAGGGGGCATAAAGTTTTACCCTTGTCCGTCTGTACGTCCGTCCATATGTCCCGAAATTGGTTTTCATTCTCTAATTTTAGTTTGCCTCAACCAAATGTTATCAAACTTATACACAATGCTTATTACAACAAAACACAGATCTAGTTTTAATGTAGGTGGCGTCACTTTTACAGTTCGAGAGTTATGCCCCTTTACAAATGGAAAAAGTTATGCCCCTTTACAAATGGAAATATTGCTGAAATTTTTGTTTCTGTTCACTTTACTTAAGTTTGCCTCAACCAAATGTTATGAAACTTTTACACAATGCTTATTACCACAAAACTAAGATCATGTACAAATGTTGGTAGGGTCACTTTTACTGTTCTTGAATTATGTCCCTTTATTAGGTTATATGCAAGCGGGGTCATCATCGGTGTCCCATGGACACATTCCCCATTTATTTACACAATGCTTATTACCACAAAACACAGATCAAGTTTGAATTTTGGTGGCATCACCTTTACCGTTCTATAGTTATGCCCCTTTACAAATGGAAAAATTGATGAATTTTTCGCTCCATTCTCTAACACAAGTTTGCCTCAACCAAATGCTTATTACCACAAACCAAGTTCCAATTTGGGTAGCGTCACTTTTACCGTTCTTGAGTTATGTCCCTTTAAAACATTATATATGCAAGCGGGGCATCATCTGTGTCCCATGGACACATTCCCCATTTGTTTTATGATCTGTTTGTTTATGAAGAGGACGCATTAATAATCAACATTCTTAATTTTGAGCATTTTTTAATTTCAAGATTAGAATCAGTAGACTTTAATTTGGTGTAAGATTTATATATCTTATATACATTATTTATCTAATACAGTTTTATGTAATTTAAATATTAATAACTTCATCAGAAATTACATCATAGTACTAATGTATAATTTCAGAAAGGAACAGGAAAATGGACAGCGATCTCAGCATTGGAGTATGGTGTACCTGTATCATTAATAGGTTTGTCTCAAACTTCAATGTCTTGGACATCTTATTTGTTTTAAAACCTGATATATGGACAATTGTTTATCCTGGGGAAAAAAACCAACTAGAAGCAACTTTTATGCTAGTCCTCTTCCCTGGAGTAACTGCAATATAAATTAGAAGTATTTTAGTTGAAACAAATTGAAAGGCATATACATTTGCGCCAATTTTGAAAATATAATTTTTTTCATTTGCGCCAAAACAAAGTTTTCATTTGTGCCAATTCAATTTGAACAGTTAAGATCTGATACATTTTAGATAATTACCGTTAACTACTTAGGTTAACCCAACGTATGGTACAGATTACAAGGAAAGGTCAAGTGAAACTGGGAAAGAGATTAGATAATGGAAACCAGGAAAATTGTCAAAGAGACAACAACCTGACCAAAGAGCATAAAACAGCCTAAGGTCACCAATGGGTCTTCAAGGCAGCAAGAAAATCCCACACTCGGAGGCGGACTTCAGCTGGCCTCTAAACAATTAGCTGTTATAGTTCAGCGAAATAGACGCCACACTAAACTCTGATACATACAAATGAACCAAAATTTAAAAAAAAACCACACAAGACTAACAAAGGCTAGAGGTTCCTGACTTGGGTCAGGCACAAAAGTTCAGTTGGTTAACATGTTTTGTTAGATCTCCTCCCTCCCCCTATACCTTAAGCCAATGAGGAATAAACAAACACACAGCAAACGCACAGTTAAACTCAGTCTGATATTAGAACAGGTAACAGAAGAAACTATCAAAATGACAATGATAAACATTAATTAACAAAGGACTACTAGCAGTTACTGACATGCCAGCTCCAGACTTCAATTAAACTGAAATATTATGTCTTCATCATATGAAAATCAACCACAATTCCTCCCTTCAGGGGTTCAGTTTCATGCCATTATAAACCTTTACAGTAAACTTATCCTGTTCCAAATCCCACTTCCATCTTCCAGTGGTGAGCAGGGGCAGATGGCAGTTGGAAGCGGTATTTTTGTTATAAAATAAATAAATTATGTACAACTTATACACCTATTGACTGGTATTACCTGTAAATTGGCGCAAATGAAAAAAAAAAATTGGCACAAATGAAGTGCAGATTGACACAAATGCAAAACGCTGAATTTGACAAGAAAATTTTTTCGATTCAGTTCCTGTAAATTTGATGTGATTTGGTAAAAAATTTGATTGCTGTAAAAATATGAGGTTTATTAATCAAAATACCTAAGAAAAGTTTTGTTTACCAAGTTAACAATGTAGCCTACTGATCATTACTTGTTTCTATCTATTACAATAGTATATATAAAGTAGATTTGCAAAATTTCAGATCGGTACACTATCTACTTGCAAGTATACATCATGTACTGTGTAATAACCCTAGATAAAGTCGACAAGGAAAGGCATTACTGAACTAAAGAAAGCTATATTTTATATAGCCTAGTTTGTTGAGTGGTCTATGGCATTGAACACGGTGCAGGTTATGTTGCCACAATGTCACAGAAGCAATTGTTTGAATCCCACTGAGGGAAGAACAAAAAAAGTTTATTATACATGTCAGTTTAATATAATAACATGTATTATTTCACAAAAACTTCATTCACATGTTGAGGATGAATAGATAGTACCTGGAAAGTATTGCACACAAGAAATGATCTAAATAATGTTTTTGTAGCTTTACATGCCTATCTAGTCAAACAAAAATATTACAAGATGAAGAATAGTAATCAAATTGCTGTTCCAATCAAAAATTGGGGAATTTGTTTAATGGACCTGAACATTGAAATGTGTTTTTTGAATGTTTTTTTCAATCTTTCAGCTGAGGCTGTATTTGCCAGATGTCTATCAGCCATGCAAGGGGAGAGAATTGATGCTAGTAAACAAATCAAAGGACCAGCAACTACCAAATATACTGGTGATAAAAAAGAATTTATTAATGATATCAAATATGTAAGTTACTGTGTTGTTGAAGATATCAAAAACATCATAATAATTTGACCCAACATTATCCAAGTAAGGTTCGAAAACATTAAAAGAGCTGAATTACACTCAAATCAAAACCATAAATGGATAGTAATTTTTCAACATATAAATATTGTAACATACCTGTTGCTCAATATACAATATACACATTTTTTCAAATCAATATTGAGACACATGGTAGATATTTTATGATATCTCTATTCTGAAAAACTGATAATATCTATGCCTCAACATTTTTTGCATTAATTACTGCATTTTAATACTCCAAATTTTGAATTAACAATTTGGTATTTTTATTTTAAGGCATTATATGCTTCCAAGATAGTATCATATGCCCAGGGTTTTATGTTGTTGAGAGAGGCAGCTAAAGAATTGAATTGGAAACTTAACATGGGAGGTATAGCCTTAATGTGGAGAGGCGGATGTATTATCAGAAGGTGGGTTATCGGCTATCTTATTTTATCAATTAAAAAAAAAACATTTTCATAAATTAAGCTTTTTGCAAGAAAGATTTTTTTAATATATTGTAAATCTAAATTAACAATTAGATAGACATATCAGTTCGCTCGTTCTTGCTCTAGCATTTGAAAAATTAAGATTTTTTTGTGGGCAAAGGTTGTCTTCTTTTTTCACATTAAATGTATGGGAAAAAACTTTTATTCAGCTGTATGAAAAATATAGAAGAAATAATTAAGAATTTTAAATCTAATTTGCCAAAAGTCTGAGATGTTTTTTTTTTGATAGTATTGAGAAATGAAGTCATTAGAGGGTAAAAAAAATTAATGTTTTGTGTAAAAGAAAGTGAAATGGGTTACAATTGTAAGAAAGGCACATCATTAACAGTCATCACTTGCCTTACTTTGTTACTATCCTGAGAAAGATAAACAACATATGATCCTCTTGTCCATGGTTCTTCATAGGTTTAAATTTGAAATCTTATTTTCTTGCCATGCTATGATTTTGACATTCTGTTAGCACAAAAAATGATGACCTTTATGTACTCTATCCAATGATATGATCTCTATTTGCGAAAAAATCTTAAATTTTTTACACCAAAAGTTCACAAAAATATGATAAGGAAGATGTGATTACAAATTATGTTGGACTTAGATTTTTGACTTGTAAAAATAGTGGTACGTATACTCCAACAGATATTTATCTGAAAAAACCCATATTTAAAACCTTTGATTTGCTTTCCATCACCTTTGTTCACACCAATCTTGTGGTAATTTTAGTAGTGAGAAACATAATAATTATAAAAAAGAAGATGTGGTATGATTGCCAATGAGACAACTCTCCACAAGAGACCAAATGACACAGAAATTAACAACGGCCTAATTTATGTACAAAAAATGAACGAAAAACAAATATGTAACACATAAACGATAACCACTGAATTACAGGCTCCTGACTTGGGACAGGCACATACATACAGAATGTGGCGGGGTTAAACATGTTAGCGGGATCCCAACCCTCCCCTTACCTGGGACAGTGGTGTAACAGTATAACATAAGAACAAACTATAAAAATCAGTTGAAAGAGGCTTAACTCATCAGATGGATAAAAATACAAATACTACAAATACAAGTGGACGTGGATATTTATCACTAATAAAAAAAAATTATAGGGGAAAGAACATTTGTAAAGTAATTGTACAATACAAAATCTTCATAATTGAAACAAGATACAGCATGTTAAGACTTTGAAACATTGCTTTGTGGGAAGAAAACATGTTACATAAGGGAGATAATTTAAATCTTTTGTCAGTCCATTAAAGGTTATTTATTATCTCCCCTTTGTAACTTACATCATTATAATCTCATAGATTAAGCCCTCACCAAAATATAAATTCAAGTTTTACTGATACACAATTGATAAATGCATTAGAAACGATTTACTCAAAGGTATAGTTTTTACAAGTACAATACCTCCAATATCTCCAATACCTCCAATACCTTCAATACCTTCAATACCTTCAATACCTCTAATACCTTCAATACCTTCAATACCTTCAATACCTCTAATACCTCCAATACCTTCAATACCTCTAATACCTTCAATACCTCTAATACCTCCAATACCTTCAATACCTCTAATACCTCCAATACCTTCAATACCTTCAATACCTTCAATACCTCTAATACCTCCAATACCTTCAATACCTCTAATACCTCCAATACCTTCAATACCTCCAATACCTTCAATACCTCTAATACCTCCAACACCTTCAATACCTCTAATACCTCCCAATACCTTCAATACCTTCAATACCTTCAATATCTCCAATACCTTCAATACCTCCAATACCTTCAATACCTTCAATACCTCTAATACCTCCAATACCTTCAATACCTTCAATATCTTCAATACCTTCAATACCTTCAAAACCTCTAATACCTCCAATACCTTCAATACCTCTAATACCTCCAATACCTTCAATACCTCTAATACCTCCAATACCTTCAATACCTTCAATACCTTCAATACCTCCAATACCTTCAATACCTTCAATACCTTCAATACCTCTAATACCTCTAATACCTTCAATACCTTCAATACCTTCAATACCTCTAATACCTCTAATACCTCCAATACCTCCAATACCTTCAATACCTCCAATACCTTCAATACCTCTAATACCTCCAATACCTTCAATACCTTCAAAACCCTTCAATACCTTCAATACCTCTAATACCTCCAATACCTCCAATACCTTCAATACCTCCAATACCTTCAATACCTTCAATACCTTCAATATCTCCAATACCTCCAATACCTTCAATACCTCTAATACCTCCAATACCTTCAATACCTCTAATACCTCCAATACCTTCAATACCTCCAATACCTTCAATACCTCTTATACCTCCAATACCTTCAATACCTTCAATACCTTCAATATCTCCAATACCTTCAATACCTCCAATACCTTCAATACCTCTAATACCTCCAATACCTCCAATACCTTCAATACCTTCAATACCTTCAATACCTTCAATATCTTCAATACCTTCAATACCTTCAATACCTCCAATACCTTCAATACCTTCAATACCTCTAATACCTCCAATACCTTCAATACCTTCAATACCTTCAATACCTCTAATACCTCCAATACCTTCAATACCTCTAATACCTCCAATACCTTCAATACCTCTAATACCTCCAATACCTTCAATACCTCTAATACCTTCAATACCTCTAATACCTCCAATACCTTCAATACCTTCAATACCTCCAATACCTTCAATATCTTCAATACCTTCAATACCTTCAATACCTCTAATACCTCCAATATCTCCAATACCTTCAATACCTCCAATAACTTCAATACCTTCAATACCTTCAATACATCTAATACCTTCAATACCTCTAATACCTCTATTACCTCCAATACCTTCAATACCTCCAATACCTCCAATACCTTCAATACCTCCAATACCTCCAATACCTTCAATACCTCCAATACCTTCAATACCTCTAATACCTCTAATACCTCTAATACCTTCAATACCTTCAATACCTTCAATACCTTCAATATCTTCAATACCTTCAATACCTTCAATACCTCCAATACCTTCAATACCTCTAATACCTTCAATACCTTCAATACCTCTAATACCTCCAATACCTTCAATACCTCCAATACCTTCAATACCTTCAATACCTCTAATACCTTCAATACCTTCAATACCTTCAATATCTTCAATACCTTCAATACCTCTAATACCTTCAATACCTCTAATACCTCTATTACCTCTAATACCTCCAATACCTTCAATACCTTCAATATCTCCAATACCTCCAATACCTTCAATACCTTCAATACCTCCAATATCTCCAATACCTCTAATACCTTCAATATCTCCAATACCTCCAATACCTTCAATACCTCCAATACCTTCAATACCTTCAATACCTCCAATACCTTCAATACCTCCAATACGTTCAATACAAAAGAACTATTTTTTATTGTGCAGATGTGTGTGTTTAATGTCGCACCATTTTTGGAGAATGCTCTCTTTTGGATAACAATTAAACAATTAGTTCAGACTTTTTGACAAAGTGATATTTTCATTTTTCTATTTAATTACATTTATTTAGCCTAAGATTTACGATTTGATATTTCTCAGAAATAAGAACAGTATTTTATATGATTATTAAATGAATGTTGATTAAAATTGGCCATAGTAGAACATTTAACTGCACAAGATTACAAGTAATTGATGTATTTACTAGAGACATTAGTCACAATATTTGTGCATTAACCCTTTAATGGCAATTCAAGGCTTTTAAAATGACAAAGAATATGAAAATGTGGAGATGTGGTATGATTGCAAATGAGAAAACTATCCACCAGAGACCAAGCATCTATAGATCACCTTATGGCCTTCAACATAGAGCAAAACTCATACCACATTAAAAGGCTCTGACGGAACAAAGTGTAAACCAATTCAAACAAGGAAACCAACAGCCTGATTTATGTACAAAACAACAAGCAAAAAACAAATATGATATACTGCAACAAATGACCAAAGAAACCTTATTTGGGGGAAAGTAACCTTTGGTTGTGTTCTGTATGGAATATGTTGCTATATATAAATAAAAAGGGCTAGATTTTTATGCCCCCGCCATCACTGGAGGGGGCATTAAGTGTTACCTTATCCGTACGTCCCTCTTACCATATGTAGTAAAATTTATACACAATGCTTATTACCACAATACACAGATCAAGTTCGAATTTGGGTGGTGTCACTTCTACCTTTTTGGAGTTGTGCCCCTTTATATGTAAAAAACGCTGAATTTTTCGTTTTCGTTTGTTCTCTAACTTTAGTTTGCTTCAACCAAATGTTATGAAACTTATACATGATGCTAATTACCACAAAACTCAGATCATGTTTGAATTTTGGTGGTTTCACTTTTACCATTCTCAAGTTATGCCTCTATATAATGTTATATGCAAGCGGGGGCATCATCTTTGTCCCCTGGACACATTCTCCATTTATTTTATTTCTGAAAATTGTCTGAATATGAGCTATTTTGTTTGTAGTGTGTTCTTAGGGAATATCAAGCAAGCCTTTGACAAGAAGCCAGATCTGAGTAACTTATTGTTAGATGATTTCTTTAAAGGAGAAATTCAGAAATGTCAGGTAAGGCCAAGCAATAGAAATATTGTTTGAGGTAAGGCCATGCAATAAAAATATTCTGTTTGAAGTAAGGCCATGCAATAAAAATATTGTTTGAGGTAAGGCCATGCAATAAAAATATTCTGTTTGAAGTAAGACCATGCAATAAAAATATTCTGTTTGAAGTAAGACCATGCAATAAAAATATTATTTGAGGTAAGGCCGTACAATAGAAATGTTCTGTTATTCATGTTATTTGGAACTCTCTTTATGGCTGAAAAGAGCAAAGCCAAGATTTTTTAGTAAATCAGATTATAATATTTATTTTTTGTTGGAATTTTATTTTTCACAGTTTTGGAATGGTTGGATTTATATCCATGTGCCACAAATTCTTTGTTCAAGATATTCCATCTCTGAATAAGATTTTAACTTTGCTCTTTCGTTTGTCAAAAAAGGACCTTAGACTTGCTAAAAGTCCTTGACCTTTCACCTTTGAAAATAGTTTTGATCCCTTGATGAGAAAGCAAAATTCATTAATATTATGCAGTTATTAATTTTGATTTGAGATCTTTATTGGTAGATAAATTAATTCTTGGCAGTTATAATATTACATAAAAATGTTTTTATGATTAAAAAAAATTGGTTTCAATGTACTTATTTCTTTAAAAAAAATTAAGATTTCTTTACAGAAATGTGAGATTCAGTATTGCATATCTATGAAGGATAAAAAGGAACATTAACAGATGCAGAGAAAAAAACTGACAAGAAATCAAAAAGATTCTCTGAAAAATCCAAATTTTAACATGTTAGCAATTTTAGGTTAGCAGTATCCTGTATTTGATAAATTTATTGCACATTTGCTCATTGCAATGAACAATAGTATGTTTCGAAACTAAGACAACATGGAAGAAAATATCTTAAAATTTTGCTGTCAAAGTTAACGTGATGGGTTTTTGATGAAAAAAGTTAGGGCTGTTCCAAAAATGAATGAATGGATGTTGGGGGAATGAAAAGCTCATTATGCTTTATCCCACTTTTTAGAAAATTAAATTTGTTATTTCCTTTTCTTCGTAAACTCTTATGAAGCAACCATCACCCATCAGATATTATTATAAAGTGAGTTCTGTCCCCCATTTCAATTATTTTTACAATATTCTCATAAGCAATAGGATTGTAGACTTATTAATGTTGATGTTCATTGATATTCATATTTTAGACTTCATGGCGTAAAGTTGTAGCAACAGCTGTTACATTAGGAGTTCCTACTCCAGCCTTCAGTACAGCATTAGCTTTCTTTGATGGATATAGATCTGCAAGACTGCCAGCCAACCTATTACAGGTATTGTTTTATTATAATGAAATTGATTTGTATCACTTTTTTCATTGGTTACTAGTTATAAACAAATTCACAGTTGAAATGTCGTTACTAATGAATGAACCGCAATGTTGGTTTACATATCAGTAAAAACTGCATTTGCGACTGTCAAATACTCAATTGACGGCAGCACCTTTTGTTAAACATGTTATCCTTCCACTAAAAGTAGGTTACTTTGAACTACAATTCTGTATTTCTAACTTATGTTTGACCTACATTCATACAATTTTGTTTAAGGACTCATCTAGGATATAGAAACCTCTGACCAAAAGAAGGTCACTGTGACTTATATTTGTGCTTCAGTAACCTTTTTAAATTTTATGTCATAGCTCAGTTCACAGATATGTTAAATTAAATTATGTTTAAGCCACATATATTATGAGACACATATTTTAATTGCATACATAAAGATATATATTAAGAACATATGTCAAAAATGTAACAAATATGAACATTTTATAGAAAATTACATATGTGTTACCCATATGTAAAGGATAATTTTTGTAAATGTTAACAAACAAAGCAATAATTTATTTACGTTTTTAGGCACAAAGAGATTATTTTGGTGCCCACACCTATGAGTTACTGGACAGCCCAGGGAAGTTCATACACACCAACTGGACTGGACATGGAGGAAATGTATCGTCAACCACATACCAAGTTTGAATAACATCATTCCATTTACCAATGTTATTATTTAGACTTGTGATAGTATTAGACTATTTTTATTAAGTTTTTCTCTATCTGTTAATGCATAATTTATGACTGGTGTTTTAAAGTGCTATTTCTATGAGAACTTTATTATATTTGTTATTTAACATTGATTGATAGTGGTCGAACATTGAAAATTTGGAAAAATTATTATAAATATTTTGAACTTTGATATCTAATTCAATTTAGTAATGATAACTTTTGAAATATATAAAATGAAAGAATCCAAATTTAATCAAGTAGTAAATCAATTTTGGACTAAGTCAATGCTTTTCATTGACTTACTGTTTCAGGCACAGGTTATTGCTTGAAACAAATTTCAATTCAGCATTTTGTATCATTTTGCTCTGTTGTATCATGGTTTTCATAATGAAGTTAAATATAATAGGGTTCATTAGGTTTAAATAAAGAGAAACAACTAAAATCAGACAGAAAAAAATTGTTATATGAGATGTATATAATTGTTATATAAGTCATAATGTTTACTAATTAACATGGATAAATAAAGATGACATAAAAAACTTGCTATATTTACCAAATACCAAATATGTTTTTGATATAGCCATTTCATGTCATGCTTATTTGTTCCAGTTCTCTTCAGTTTCAGCATTGATTTTGACTTCCAACAGTCCTTAATTCGAATGCTGCTAATGAGTCTCACATAGATGAAATGTGTGTCTGGGGTACTAAATAAACTCATCATAGATACCAGGATTAAAATTTGTACAAAAGGCATGGGTTTCGTCTACAAAAGAATCAGTGACGCTCAAATAAAAAAGTTAAATAGACCAAATAAAGTACCAAGTTGAAGAGCATAAAAACCCAAAATTCCAAAAGGTTTTGCCAAATAAAGCTAAGGTATACTATTCCTGGGGTAGAAAAATTAAAAGTTTAGTAAACAGTTTATTTATGATTATGACCATATTCTTGCTACTTTTGATGAATTTTAACATATGAATTTCCAACAGTTTTAATGAAAGAAATATAAGTATTATGTATATTGACATGGCCTAATGATGGCATTACTCAATTACCAAATCAAAATATGTGGATTACTTGAAATTTAAGATAACAATTCTTTGAATCATTTGACAAACTTATAAATAAATAACAAAGGTAAAAACCAAGGCAGTCTGGATTGGGAGGATATTTTTATTACTTAAAAGTTTACCTGAATTATTTATTTTATTAGTTTGAGCCAGGGATTCCAGCAGGAGTACGCTCTTTGCAATGCTTTATTATTTACAATATTGTACCAAATCATTTTTGAAAGCTATCATTTCATAAATTATGTAATTGATAAATGTTAACGCATCAATTTATAATATAATGTACATAAGTGTATGATCATGTGCCATCTATTTTTGTACAATCAAAAGTTTATAAATCTATCTTCACAAATGAAAGGGGGATAACTAGTCTTTTTGTTTCCTAATTCTTAAAATACTTTGCAAAGCTATTGTGTTGCTTCTTCCAAGCTTTAATTATTCATTAGCAAGGTCTAAATTTTAATTTCTGTACTAGATTTTTGGTGTGATTATTTTTTTAATCAAGAGGATCACTTATATTGAATGTACAATGTCTCTTATAACTGTGATCCATTTCAGAGTATAATTTTGTGGTTTTTACACATGGATATATAATGAATTAATTTTAATTTTGTGTCAAATTTACATAACCAAACTGAAAATGAATGATCTCAATTTAAATGTTATATGATATGTTTTGCTGAGTTCACCTTTTTTGAGATTGTCTGCCATGAAAGAGATCTAATGTGTTACATCTAACGTTTTAAAATCTTGTATGTTTTAAGCAGTTGTCAATGTAATTTTTTAGTAATTTCAAAGTCCCATCATTCATCACCAAATATTTGACATCACAGATCCAAAAGTGATTTTTTCCCCCTTTAATGTCATTAGGTCAACTGCCACAAAAATGAGGTCAGTTGTTGCAAAGAACTTACTTGAAACTAATTGGTTTATTTGTCTTTACAAGTATGTATGCGTCTGCAATAGACAATTGCCTAATGACTGAATATAAGTTATACACAGCAATGATAGATCTGCTATAATTTTTGTCATTTTCTTATTTTAATTATTTGAAATACTGTAAATTAGAAAATGTTTGTGTCAGTTTAATGTTTGCATGTTTTTATCCATAATGATTTAAATATTTTGAGACAATCCAATTTGTTAAATGCATTTTAAAACTTACAAAATGTTATAAGGCAAATAAAATACTTCAGACAACCAAGGAATTTAATTTTCAGGAAAATAAGACTGCAAAATTTTTTTTGGTGTACAGTATACTTGTTACAAATATCTAATGAATATAACATCTATATGATATATTTCTAGCCATAATTTGCAATAAAATATAGATTTGAATGTATGCAGGAATTGAAGTTTATTGGAGCAATTCATTAGTTAGCCAAGGATACTGTGGATTCATTATTATTCGTAGGATATTAATTTTCTTGAATACGTTGGTTTAAGTGAACCACAAATTTCAATGTTAGACATCTTCTGTAGTTTTGTTTGCAGACTTTTCCACACCACAAACATCAAATTTTCCTCAATCCATGAAAATTGGTACCCTCTAAAATAAATGAATCCACAGTAAGTTAATTATTAGGCTAAAGTTTTTTTTCCTTTACTGATTTTTATTGTTCATTTTCTAATGCACCTTTTGTGATTCCACTGAGCCAAATTTAAAACGGGGAAGGTTGAGAACTAAAAAAATTAGTTTAACCCCACCACATATATTCATGTTGCTATTTTAAGTCAGTGATGATTTTTTAGGTATAGATTGCATGAAATGCAATCAAAACCCTATGGTACTGACTTGAAATATATCTTCCAAGGTTTATTACTACCTTTGATAGTTCAAACAAAATAGTGCAGTGAAGTGATCATTATTTAGATCCTATCCAGTCAATGTCATACAATTTATTGATGATATGTTATACTCTGATATTTAAGTTACAATATGATGTGTATTTGAATTACCATACTTGTCAAGAAAACATTTTTTATTAAAAATTACATAAGTAATGCATGGTGTATGAACCTGTTATACGAATACTACACATGCACAATCATGAACAAAGAAAAATAACTCCCAACTCAAATTTTCAATTTGCCTAGCAAAATGCAATTAAATGTTTTATTAAGAAATACACAAAATTGCAAAATGAAAGCAACCTTCACCCTTAAGTCCTCACAAGCATTTTGATTGTTATATTTAATGCTTTTTGTCCTTCAGGGAATTTGATATGGATAGCATATTTTTGAGTCTCTGTTACATTTTTCACAGTGTTTTCTAAAATTGGGGAATTTCAGTATTGGCATGTTGTATAGACACACATGTGTTTTTGAGACCATTGAGGAGAAGAAGACCTCCATTGATTTTAAGGTCACTATGTCGAAGGTCAAGGACTCAACAGCAATTGATAGATTGAAGTTGGTGTAAAATATTGTTTTGTTGATGACATCTTTCAAACCACCATATCAACTGCTTAACTTGAAAATGCATCTAGTTAAGAACGAGATTCTATTGATCTTTCGGATCGTAGGTCATAGGTCAAGTCTGACTAAAATTTTGGGGAAGTTTTTTCTTCCAAGCAATATCTATTAAGTCATAAATCAGATCTTTACCAATACTTGGTAGATAATGGATGACTGGGTGAAGAAGAAAACAACACATTGATCTTGATCATGATGGTACTGGGTCAAGGTCAAGGACACATCTGCAATAAATAGACTTAAATATGGGCAAGTTTGATATAGATTTTTTATGCCCCTGTCGTAGCGGAGGTGGCATTAAGTTTTACCCTTGTCTGTCCGTACGTCCCAAAGTTGGTTTCTGTTCTCTAACTTTAGTTTGCCTCATCCAAATGTTATGAAACTTATACACAATACTTATTACCACAAAACTCAGATCAAGTACAAATTTGGGTAGCGTCACTTTTACTGTTCTTCAGTTATGTCCCTTGATAACTTTATATGATATGCAAGCGGGGGCATCATCTGTGTCCCATGGACACATTCCCCATTTATTTTGAATATTTTTCAAACCTTACATCCAATCATTACCAAACTGAGTTGGATAATATCCCTTGAAATGACCCTTGTGGAATTTAAGGTCACAAGATCAAAGGTAAAGGTTGCAGCATCAATTGAAAGACTGAAATTAGTACAAACTTTTTGATTTTCGGATTATGTGCATAGAACCATTTGTCCTTCACATATCCTGGCTTGAATATTCATATTGGACAGGACATTTGCTTTATTTAGGTCAGTAGGTTAAAGGCCAAGGTAACAGTACCTATATAGACTGAAATTTTGTGAAAAGTGTTGTTTCCCTATCAATAACTTAATAATTGGGATGTTTACTCTTTTTATACGACCGCAAAATTTATTTGCGGTCGTATATTGGTATGAAGTTGGCGTCGTCGTTGTCGTCATCTGAAGACACATTGGTTTTCACTCTCTAACTTTAGTTTAAGTGGATGGATCTCTATGAAATTTTACCATAAGGTTCAATACCACAAAAGGAAGGTTAGGATTGATTTTGGGGGTTATGGTACCAACAGTTAAGGAATTAGGGGCCAAAAATAAGCATTTTTGTAACTTCCAGACATAACTTGTGTGTTAGTGTATGGATCTCTCTGAGATTGTACCACAAGGTTCCATATCACAAAGGAAATGCTGGGATTGATTTTGGGGGTAATTGCCTCAAAATTTTAGGAATTAGGGGCAAAAAAAGGGGCAAAAAACAAGCATAGTATTTTTCTAGTTTCATGACAATAACTTGTGTGTAAGTGTATGGATCTTTCTGAAATTGTACTTCAAGGTTCCATATCACAAAGGGAAAGCTGGGTTTGAGTTTGGGGGTAATTGCCCAAAGCATTTAGGAAAAAGGGCCAAAAATAAGCATTTTTTTAGTTTCCAGACAATAACTTGTGTTCAAGTGTATGGATCTCTCTGAAATTGTACTGCAAGGTACCATACCCAAAAGGGAAGACTGGGATTGATTTTGGGGGTAATTGCCTCAAAATTTTAGGAATGAGGTGTCAAAAATGGGCAAAAAACAAGCATTTTTCTAGTTCAGGACAATAACTTGTGTGTTAATGTATGGATCTTTATGAAATTGTACTACAAGGTTCCATATCACAAAGGTAAAGCTGGGTTTGAGTTTGGGGGTAATTGCCCTAAATGTTTAGGAATTTGGAGCCAAAAAGGGGCCAAAAAAACAAGCATTTTTCTAGTTTCCAGACAATAACTTCAAGTGTATGGATCTCTCTGAAATTGTACTGCAAGGTACCATACCACAAAGGGAAGGCTGGGATTGAGTTTGGGGGTGATGAATCAAAAGGGGGTTCAAAAAATTGGGGGGGGGGGGGGGGTTTGTTTTTCCTTTTTTTCCTTTTTGTTTCTTTAAAATTTTACATTTTAAATTGGTTATTTCTGATTAAGATGTCTTCATGAAGACTGTTACTGCCTCATTGTGTCTTCATATTCATATTCATATCACATCAATTTGTTCTCGCCTTTATATTCATGTGATATTTGCCACTGGACAATAAACATCAATTCTTCATTTATGAGGATACAATAAACAATAATGGAAATTATCATTATCGGTTCTCTTAAAATTTAGTTTGGTGCACAAAACAGATTTGCAACCTTTTACTCTACTACAAACAAGTTACCTGTTTTCGATTTTGAAACGGGATTATACCTGTTGTCCAGTCAGTAACCTGTGAGTATGGTAGAAATCAAAGCATTTGTACAGCTGTCATGGCATACCCTTGAGTCTTGGCAGGAACATTGGTGCATGGTAGAAATCAACGCCTCCGTGCACCTTTCATGCATACCCTTGTGTCCTGTCAGTAACCTTTGTGTATGATAGAAATCAACGCCTGTGGTCGGCTTTCATATATATCCTTGTCTCCAGCCAATTACTTTTTAGTATGGCAGGAATCAACGCCTTTGTACAGTTTTTATGCATAACCTTGTGTCCTGTCAGTAATCTGGGTGTACGGTAGAAATCGACGTCTCTGTACAACTTTCATTTATACCTTGTGTCCTGTTTGTAACCTGTGTGTATGGTAGAAATCAACGCCTTTGTAAAGCTGTCATGCATACCCTTGTGTCCTGCTAATAACTTGTGTGTATGGTAGAAATCAACACCTGTGTACAGCTGGCATGCTTACCCTTGTGTCCTGTCAGTAACCTGTGAGTATGGTAGAAATCAACGCCTGTGTACAGCTTTCATGCATACCCTTGTGTCCTGTTTGTAACCTGTGTGTATGGTAGAAATCAACGCCTTTGTAAAGCTGTCATGCATACCCTTGTGTCTTGCTAATAACCTGTGTGTATGGTAGAAATCAACACCTGTGTACAGCTGGCATGCTTACCCTTGTGTCCTGTCAGTAACCTGTGAGTATGGTAGAAATCAACGCCTTTGTACAGCTTTCATGCATATCTTTGTTTCCTAACAGTAACCTGTGGTTATAGTAGAAATAAACACATTTGTACAGCTGTCATGCATATTATAGTGTTCTGTCAGTAACCTATGTGTATGGTAGGAGTCAATGCCTGTGTACAGCTTTCATGCATACCCTTGTGTCCTGTTTGTAACCTGTGTGTATGGTAGAAATCAACGCCTGTGTACAGCTGTCATGCATAGCTTTGTGTCCTAACAGTAACCTGTGAGTATGGTAGAAATCAACGCCTTTGTACAGCTGGCATGCATACCCTTGTGTCCTGTCAGTAACATGTGAGTATAGTAGAAATCAACAGCTGTCATTCAAACCTTCGTTTATATACCTATAAGTATGACAGAAATCAACGCCTGTGCGCAGCTTGCATGCATCGGCGGAGGACATTTTAGCTCATTGAGAGGACATTTTAAATTGGTTATTTCTGATTAAGATGTCTTCATGAAGACTGTTACTGCCTCAGTGTGTCTTCATATTCATATTCATATCACATCAATTTGTTCTCGCCTTTATATTCATGTGATATTTGCCACTGGACAATAAACATCAATTCTTCATTTATGAGGATACAATAAACAATAATGGAAATTATCATTATCGGTTCTCTTAAAATTTAGTTTGGTGCACAAAACAGATTTGCAACCTTTTACTCTACTACAAACAAGTTACCTGTTTTCGATTTTGAAACGGGATTATACCTGTTGTCCAGTCAGTAACCTGTGAGTATGGTAGAAATCAAAGCATTTGTACAGCTGTCATGGCATACCCTTGAGTCTTGGCAGGAACATTGGTGCATGGTAGAAATCAACGCCTCCGTGCACCTTTCATGCATACCCTTGTGTCCTGTCAGTAACCTTTGTGTATGATAGAAATCAACGCCTGTGGT